GAGCTTAGCCATGGCGTCTTCTTCCTCTTCCGCTGGGTATCATCTTCTCCAGCAAGGCGACACACCCGACACAACACCGGCAGCCACTGAAGAAGAAACAAGCATGGGTAAATCGCTGGGCACATTTCGAGCTTGCTACGTCGTGGCCTTGTGCTGCATTGGCTCGTTCCTCTTCGCCTACGACACTGGGATTGTGGGAGGTGTCTTGACGTTTCCATCCTTCCAAAATGACTTCGGCTACTCAAAGGCCGACAAGACACAAGTCAACTCGAACTGTGTCTCGATCCTCCAGGCTGGAGCCTTTTTCGGCTGCTTCTTCATCTGGCCACTGACGGGATGGCTCGGTCGGAGATGGGGGTTCATCATTGCCTCTGTCGTTTTCTGCATCGGGTGCATTTTGCAAATTGTGAAATCACACTCCATTGGCGTTTTCTATGCTGGCCGTGTCATCTCTGGTTTAGGTACTGGGGCAGCGACAGTGCTGGTGCCCATGTTCTCCGCAGAGATGGCCCCAAAGGAGATCCGAGGCAAGCTGGGCTCATGCTTTCAGCTGTTCTTTGCGACTGGTGTTTGTGTCAGTTACTGGGTCGACTACGCTGCGCAAGTGGGCATTTCCGAGACTTCTTCGATGCAATGGCAAGTGCCTGTAGGCCTACAGCTGGTCCCTGGAGGTCTTCTTGGGTTGGGCATGTTACTGGTCAAGGAGTCTGCTCGTTGGCTTGCAAAGAAGGGTCGCAACGAAGAAGCTTATGCTTCTCTCCTTTGGGTCCGTGGTGGTGTCGATAGTCCCGAGATTCGAGCCGAGTTTGCAGAAATACTTGCTGGCGTGGAACTGGAAGTGCGAGAATCGGAAGGCCTGACCTGGAAAGAACTTCTCCTGCCATCGAACAGATATCGATTGTTTATCGCAATCACGATTCAACTCTGCGCCCAATTGACCGGCAACACCTCACTAGCCTACTATGCTCCGCAGATCTTCGCCACCATTGGGGCTGGTAACAAGACACTCTTCATCACTGGCTTCTTCGGGCTGGTCAAGATGGCTGGTGTCTTTATCTTCATTCTCTTCTTCGTCGAAAGGTTTGGCCGCAAGCTTCCCTTCATGGTCGGCGCATTTGCGATGGGGAGTTTCATGCTCATCATTGCATTGATTGTTGACACGCATCCCCCCAAACCATCGGCCACGGGGATCACATCGTCGGGAGCGGCCGGTATCGCCATGGTCTACCTGGAAGCATTCGCCTTCAATATGTCTTGGGGGCCTCTGCCGTGGCTGTACATAGGCGAGATATTCCCCAACCGGATCCGGGAGATTGGTGTTGCAACAGGTGCTGCGAGCCAGTGGCTCTTCAACTTCGTCATGAGCCAGATTACTCCTCACGCCATTACCAATATCGGCTGGAGGACGTTTCTCATGTTTGCCATATTCAACTATGCTATCATTGTTTACAGCTATTTCCTGCTCAAGGAGACCACGGGCAAGAGCTTAGAAGAGATGGAGATTGTCTTTGGTACCGTGGATAGGCTGCCCACCAAGGACGATGACGAGGTGGAATCGCAGGCTGCACACGACACCGCCAGGGAGATTCACGAAACAGCCAAGTGAGCTGGTATACAGACAACACTCCAGGGGGCCATATCTACCATGTAATATGCGAGATAGATACCCATATACGGAAGTGGTCTGACGCAACGATGCGCCGAATTGTCCAATCAGAAATTGAATCCAGTGATGCGCCGTAGCGCGTCAGTGCCTACTTCCTTCACTGTAGTTCGTATAATTGTCGTGTTCCGATTTTCTCTACGGATCTTGGCCAGACGAATTCCAAGTACCCCTGTTGTCCTACATACCTATTTTAACGGAAGTGAAACTATTTTGACACTTGACACTCCGGTTCTAAACCACACCTTACTGGCATAACAGACTCGCTCTCACTGTGGCCACAACACACCTGGCCGAACATGCCCGACTCTAGTCATGCACCCGCTCCCGCACGGCGAAGGTCGTCTTTTGCGTATGACCCTGCTCGAGATACTTTCAAAGCACTGCCAGATACCATAGCCGAACAAGCCATTGCTGAAGATGCCGAGGAAGATGCAAATACTACGGCCCCACCAACGTCCAGTCCAGGCGCAGAGGGTGCGGCGGACTCGTCCCGAAAGCGAAAGCGATCGGAGTCGCCTGACGCAGAAGTGAAGCCTACATCTGAACCGAAGAGACAGGAGACCGAGGAGACACCTCCAGTGAAGAAAACACGCGCGTCCACTTCGCCCGCGGGACGAGATAAAGCCTCGCCTAAGCCCGCTACGAATGGAAGTCACACCGAGAAACCCAAGCCCAGAACACCCGCAGACCTGCCCCGAATCCCACGCAAGCCGAGAGAAGAAGGCGAAATTTCTGCATCACGTCGGGTGTCCGACGCGTATAGTCGACGACCGGATACCGATGACCGACGTGCAAGAGAGCGGAGGGACAACTTCTCTAACCGGCGATCGCGATCCCCTCCTCGACGACGCTCCCCCTTGGATGCCTACCGTCGCCGATCTCCTCCACGAGAGCGTCGCAAATCCCCCTCCCCCATCCGCGACTCTCCCCCACGAGACATAATTCGTCCTGGCGGTGCTCGCGGCCGTGGTCGGAACGTGCTAGCCGAACAGCAGCGACTTGCTGCCGAACGGGAGCAGAAGCAGGCTGGGCTACACGCTCAAGTCAATCGTGGTGTTCAAGAAGTCTCAAATCAATTCTACAACGCGCGGCCAGAGTGGGTGAAGGAGAAGGGACGAGACTGGCGCAGGAATGAATCTCAAATCAAAGGACTACGCACTTTCAACAACTGGATCAAGTCCTGCCTCATCCACAAATTTAGTCCGGAAGAGAAGACCGAAGAGGAAGAATTGGGCTGGGGCGAGGAGGCGAAAGAGCCTGCAGCACAGAAACCACTCCTGGTGCTCGACATTGGGTGCGGTAAAGGAGGTGATCTGGGGAAGTGGCAGCTGGCTCCACAGACAGTTGGGCTGTATGTCGGTCTCGATCCCGCAGAGACAAGCATTCAACAAGCTCGTGAACGATATCAACAGATGCGGCGAGGTCGACGTCCAATCTTCGATGCCCGCTTCTTTCCACAAGACTGTTTCGGCGCTTGGATTGGTGATGTCGGCATTATTCGCGAAGTCGGCATCGACCCCAACGCGGGCAATGGACAACCTACCCGCTGGGGCGGTGGCGGATTTGACGTTGTCACTTGTATGTTTGCCATGCACTACTCATTTGAGTCCGAGGAGAAAGTGCGCATGATGCTACGCAACGTGGCGGGAAGTCTGAAGAAGGGAGGACGATTTATTGGGGTGGTGCCAAACAGTGATGTTTGTGCGGAGAAGATCAGAGAGTGGTTCAAGGACAAAGAAGCGAAGAAAGCTCAAGAGAATGGACCCGATGGTGCTGATGCTGAGAAAGAGGACGGCGAGGCCGATGAGGAGGGTCCTCAATGGGGCAACGCCATTTACAACGTCCGCTTCCCCATCGACCCGCAGCGTCCTTTACAATCCGATGGATCCTTTCGTCCACCCTTCAGCTGGAAATACACGTACTGGATGGCTGAAGCCGTGGATGTGCCTGAATTTGTGGTACCTTGGGAAGCTTTCCGGGCGTTGGCCGAGAGCTACAATCTCGAGCAACGCTACAGGAAGCCGTTCTTGGATATTTGGCAGCAAGAGCAAAGCAATCGCGAGATGGCCAGTTTGGCAGTGAGGATGGGCGTGATCAGGCATGAAGGGGGAGAGATGTTGCTGAGTGAGGCCGAGAAGGATGCAGTGTCATTCTATCATGCTTTCTGTTTTGTCAAGGTCTAGACACTACTTCACACCTTGGATTATTGGTCGTGGTGGTGGGCGGAAAGGTATGATTCAGCCTTGGGAGTGCGAGGCTTGTTCAGCGGAGAATTACGGGTATCTCATGCATATTGGTTCTTGAAAGTCGGATAGGTCCAGGCATGGCAGGCTATGCAGGCACGGCAGGATCATTTTAGGTCGACCACAGAATTGCATGTCCGATTGATCGGTGTCTAAGAAGTGAGATCTTCCATAAGATATCTTTCTCTCCGTCCTTATCATGGACACCGTAATGGTAGCGAGATACAGCACTGCATTTCAACATTATGGAATATCCCTTTAAGGCTAGAGCTGGATTTTGAGGAAACGGGAGCGAGAGCCATTAGAAAATGTCCTCCCCCTCCCCTTTCTTTCTACATGAGGCTGGGTATTATATATTATTATAGAACGTGACGACAGGTCATGTGGCGAGAAGATATCATATACGGTAGAAATGAATTTCAGACAGATAGGTTGAGTACCATTTTTTTTTATTTGCATGCCTGTGCCGGGTGTATACAGGGCACATATATACAGATATACACCTCGTATATCCAGGATATATGCGTATATATCTTAACAAAAACCCAGGTGGCTTGCTAGTGGCAACACAAAGATCAAGGTTCCGACCCGACTCAATATTCCTCCCCATCGCCATAGCCATAACCATAACCATAACTATGTGCAAACGCAAGCACGCGGACAAGCACAGGTGTCAAGTACAATAGAAGGGACAGTAGGAGATATAATCATAGTAGATATAACCGCGACTTGGGGCCCTATCCCTGAACCTGAAGACGAAACCGGGAGAATCTGAGCGAATTAGACCATCGATTGCTTCAAGTGCGCCTGTTCCTCCTGTCCATGGCGCCACTCCTTGTTGGCAGTGATTGGAATAAACATAAAAAAAAAACCTCAACTGACTGACTGACTGACTGACTGAGCCGTCCAACCGGGTTGCAAGAAATTTGACTTGCTTGACTAGCTCGACGATCAGACTGGGGCACGGCTACAAGGAGAACAGAGTTAGCATGTTATTTATGTACAAAGTAACGTCCCTATCCACAAGATGTGGTCTTTGGCAGCAAAAACAAAAGGGGCATAGAAGTGGGGGGATAGGATGAGAGGGAAAGTCATGATGGTGAATCACCAAGGGGGGGAGACGTGGATACGTACCAGTAAATGCATGTCACGCTGTTGGTGGTAGAGCGTGCCATCCACTCGTCAAAGCACATGGCGTGCGTGGCGTTGTGGCACGTAGAACAGCGCCAGGTCTCGTTGTCGTTGTCGTCGTCATCGTCATCGTCAGAGGACATGGCGTTCAGGCAGATCCCACATTCAGTCTCGGAGGAGATCGAGGATGAAGATGTGTTGCTGTTCCTCGACGCGGATGAGGACCGAGATGATGACCGAGATGAGGTTGTGGAAGGGATGTAGGCTCCAGTTGGCGAAGATGAGCGTGACGACGCGATTGACGGAGCGTTGGATCGAGATTGTCGGCGTCGAGTGGCCCTGATCGACGCACCGGACACAGCGGGTGCAGGATCGAAAACACGGCCTCGCGTCGAGGATTGCTCTGCCCCGGATACGTCGGCGGCGGCGGTGACGGGTGGTAATGACCTCGTTTGATCCTCCAACCGGGCCAAAAGAACTTCAAGCATCCTGATTGTCTCCTGTTGCATCCGGTGGAAGTGGTAGTCAAAGTCTCCAGAGAGACCGCTGTCTCTGATCGATGGTTCGGAGGATATTGTTCTTCTTGTTGACGATGTGATCTGGCCCTCGCCGGGACGACGTCCTCTGTAAGAGCTTTGACCTCGAACGCTGCTGTAGCGTGTCGCTGTTTGGGTCTCTGCCACGTGTCGGTCCAATCTAGTCAACCAGGTCTGGGTTTCCTCGGGTGCTTGGTCCTGGTGCCATCTAATAGCACGTTAGAAAGCGTGTCAACTGGGGAGGAAGCCGGGGCGGGACTTTGTCTCCATCGGCATGTGGAATATCTCGATAGACGTACCGTTTGCAATGAAGTAGGCTTGCCGCGTCTTGCAATTGCTTTTCCAGCCTCGAGGGCTTCACTCCACACGCGAGAGGGCTGCAGATACTTGTGAGTATACGTGTGGCTGCGGAACGCGATGCCGCCGCCACTGGATTTCGACAATTCCGCCCAGCGTCCCGACCACTTGTCGTATAACCAATGCACGTGGACTGCTCGTGAGGGTGGTTGATTTCCAGAACTTGACAGAGCTCGCTGGTGGAAAGCATCCTGTGAGGTTTCGTTGAGAGTGCAGCGGGAGGTTGAATGATGAGAGACTGTGCCGCCTGGTTGGTCGAGGGATAGAAGATGTACCTACCAGGTTCCAAGCTGTCTATATAGTGTCTCTCGCCGGCTCTCACAGACACAGCCAATGCAGTTCAATGGCTCGCCCGGTGAGTCTCCAGGCAAACGAACCATACTCAGCCACAGGACTTGCTGCCTTCCAAGATAATGGAGCGGCTGTTTGGTGCCGAACTGCCAGAAGTACACCTGCCCGTTTCCGCAACCGAAGCAGTTGAGGCGTTCACGACCACTGGCCGAGTCCAGGGAGGTCCCTGTCCATTCGTCATGGAAATGGCGCAATATGCAGCACACCACCAGAGGCGCAGTGCAGGCTTCACGAACGGATGCATGGTCGCGGGTGTGGCCATGATGCCCCTCAGAGCAGGGGTTTCCAGACATATAGCGTATCAAAGTGTCACAGACCTTCCCCGGCCCCTGTGGGATTCCAGAACACTGCTAGCTTCTTTACGCCAATTGAGGCGGAGATAGGTCATATTGACGAGTAGACTGCGAGAGATAACTGCTTCTCACGACAGAAACGGGCATGGTGAGTTCGGGAGGCCCGTACGCATTGACCTTGACAAGGTTCTGCGGCCCGTCGGGGGTATTGCGTAGCCGGCGCTTAAGAGAGAAAGGAATCGACGGCGTTGTGCACAGACGCTCTTCGTGGCGTAACTATTGTGGCTGTCGAGCTGTCGAGCGACGAAGAGCGAAGAGCGCTCATGCAAGGATCTTCATCTGGCGGTTTGCTCTGTACTTAGCATAGCATTTTCGCGTGATGACCCAGGTCACTTGAAGCCTCCATGGGGATGAATTGCGTCAAGCTGCCTTTTATTTCTGGCCTGCATCTTTGCGTCAGTAGTAGATAGCCTAGCATGGTTCTCCTGCGGCAATGAAGAGCTCTCAGCTTCAAGGGGGGTGTTAGTGAAACAGCGCCAGTTACACAAGTGAAAAGCCACAATTGGCCATGGATTGTGCGAATAGAGGAGTCTGAAAGTATGAGAACAAGGTTGTAGTGCTTGTTGATTGGAGTCGTATTAAAAGAAAGAGGTTCGAGTTGGAATGCTAAGAATCGAGTATGGAACGGAGAAGAAGTGTTGTCGACAAGAAGCGCCGAGTTGAGAGAGGAAATTATTCGGTCTGACACAGGATTCATGGTTAAATCCAGGCTCTGTCGAAATCAAGTAGCACCGTCAGACACGACAATTTTACTTGGTGCACCAATAGCAAGGCGAAATCATACATTCGAGGGGACCAAGTAGTATTTGTATCTTTAAGGAGTGATTACATTCGACGCGTATATGTACTCTGATAATGCCAAACCTCCGCTATGCTATGCTATGCTATGCTGTGCCGTGCTATGCCGTACTATGCCCCAAATACCGCAAAAAATCGCAAACCGCATGAAAAAGACATGCTGCCCTGCAGCCCAACTCTTGCTCGCATTACTGACGTTGCTTCGTCTCCTCCATCTTGCCTGTGTCGCTGGCAATCAATGCTTACCAGGCACCAATCGACGTGGGCACGGCCATGGTGATTGTAATGGTTTGACAACCAACACAGTCACTCAAGTTATAGAAGAAATTGGGGGCCAAGGTAGGTGTGGCAGTGACAGTCACTGTGGCTGGAGAAGGGCACCAATGGTGGGTTGTGGGTGACTGGGTAGGAGCAGGCTTGCAGTGACCATTGGCGGCCGTCCCATATCCACACCACTGAGAGGCAGGAGTGGTGGAGGTAGTCGAGGTGCTAGTTGAGGTCGGCGATGGGTTGCATTTTCCATTCAGAGCAGTGCCAAATCCACAATAGTGAGTGGTAGTGGTGCTCGCTGTGGTTGGCACGCTGCTGGTGCTGGTAGTGGAGCAGGAGCTGGTCGACGTGCTTGAAGTGCTCTTGCTGGTGCTGGCACTGGAGGTAGAGGTACTGCTGGTGCTCGTACACTTAGTCGTAGTAGTCTTGGAATGTGAGGTCGTGGTAGTGGTAGTGGTAGTGGTGCTGGTAGTCGAGGTGCTGGTGCTGGTGCTAGTTGGAGTGATACATTTTCCGTCTAGTGCTGTGCCAAATCCACACCAGAATGACGTGGTGGTTGTAGTCGAGACCGGTGTGGTGGTGGTGGTTGTGGGTGTAATGCATTTGCCGTCCAAGGCGGTGCCAAAGCCGCACCAGTATGAGGTCGTTGTGGTGCTGGCTGAGGTCGACGTGCTGGTCGACGTGGGGGTAATGCATGAGCCATCAGCGGCTGTTCCAAAGCCGCAATAGTAGCTCGCTGTGGTGGTAGAGGAAGTAGAGCTTGAGGTCGTGGTTGGCACGGAAGTAGTCGTGGTAGAGGAAACAGAGCTCGAGGACGTAGTTGGGACGATACATGAGCCATCTGCATTAGTGCCAAAGCCACAGTAGTTGGAAGTGGTGGTGGTCTCGGCCACTGGCATGGCCAAAGTGCCAGCAGCAAGAGCTGCAATGAGGAAAGAGACGGAAGAACGCATTTCTGACGACGGGATTATACTTTGTAGATTGTAGATGGGAATGCGCTGTTTTGAGGAGTGTTGCTTGAAGCGAGTGTGGCAAGGAAACTGTTTGGTTCAAACGATTGTGGTAAGGTAACGAGGGTTCAGGAAGTTGTTGCTATAGTTGTTTTGCTGTTGTGATGATGGACAACACAAACCTTTTCGGCAACGAGAGGCACTCACCTTCTTATACACCCATGGTATAGACGAGAAAGCATAGCTTCTCTGGTGTCATGCGAGCCATGGTGACAATTCAGGTGTAGCATTGCTCGCTATGCTGTAAGTTTTCCCAAGCTATCGCACTGAGCCTCAGCAGCTATTGTAACGTGCGAGTGGTGTGTTCGGTGCCAAGTCAGATCGCGATTGGTTCCCAAAGGGCAAATCATGCGAGACATCTCCCAAGCTTCGTCAAGGCTGAAGTGAGAGAAATTCTGTGGAGAGAGCTTTCAAGAGTTGGGGAGGCTGAGCACCAAAGAGTCTAGGCTCCAGTTCGCAGGCGCAGTCAGGGGGAGGGAAAAGATGCACCAATCAGCACATCCCATATACACTCATTCTAACCATATGTGGTTGGGGTAGCCGGGGTTGCGGAAAAGTAGTTTATCCGATGCGAGGGATAAGTTTTCAGGTGGTATTTTCTAGTGGCACCCTCAGGAGCTACAGTAGCACCAACACCAACACCAGGCTACGCTTCTCTTCTCCGGATTCTACCTTCTTTTGGACTGAGACATATGGGCACATGACTTGACGTAGTCAGTGTGCTTCTTTCTCCCATGGAGTGACGTTTTCAATAGTGATGGCAAGAATGGGTGTTTCTATTTTTACCCTCTACTCGGTACAGAACGTGACTTGAAAATTCACTCAAGCTATTGGGCGCGGAACATCCACGGAAGTACACAGTACTTGTGCTTGTACACATTTGACTATCTGACCAAGGAAATGAAGAGAGTCCAGTGGTGGCCAACTGAGACATCAGAACGTGAGCCCGTCAAGGTGTGTGCCGAGTAGTCATAACACTTGAGGCCAGCCAGGCAGAGACGAGGAATGTAGTTCACCAAACCAAGAGAAGGCGGTTATGAGAGAACCGCTAAAGCATTGTCGATCCGGGAGCATGACTGCTAGCAGACAGGCTACTGGGCAAAAGTACCGTGTACAAGTAAATGCTGTATTTGTAGGATTCCCTACTTGGCTGCAAACGGCCATGCTTTGCCTATTGCCTACCTAGGGAGTAGTCAATTATTGTGCAGGCGCGTCATCCATCTCAACACGTGTCTGCAATTTGTATGGAGAACTCAGTGTCCAACGCCAACAAGGGACAACCCTCTTGCTTTCTCTTTCTCAAACAACGACACCCAATATGTTTGGGGCTTTGAATCGCTTTATAGCTCGCCTCGATGGTGAGCCGCCTCCACGACAAGCAGACACTGGGCCTTCGGATACATCGTATGGCTTTCAAGTCCTGCGAAACACAAATAAAGACCTCCCCATTGAGCCGTGGTTCGACTTCATCATAGGCATTAACGGTCATTATCTGGTACTTGTCTAGCCCAACAAGAAGCAACTAGGTCTGAGGTGATATGCTGACTCCTTGGAGGACTCGCCCGATCCCGCCCTGTTCACAACCGAACTGCGCAACTGCGCTGGCGGATACTGTTCGCTGGATCTATGGAGCGCAAAGGTACGAGGTCACTTTTCCGCCAGAGTATTGTTTCCATTCCTGATCGGTGCGTCCAGGGTTCAAGATCCCATTCGATCAGTGTCGCCGTTCCTTCTCCCCCAGAAACGCTCGGACTCTCGCTACAACTCGCACCTCTCAATTCCACACACAACATCTGGCATGTTTTGACCATTCCGTCCCCGTTGTCACCGGCCCATCAAGCAGGCCTCCTACCGCATAGCGACTACATACTTGGCTCGCCAAGCGGCACGTTAAAGGGAGAAGCTGCTCTCGGTGAGCTCGTCGAAGACCATCTCAATCGCAGTTTGGTACTATGGGTCTACAACTCGGAATTTGACGTGGTTAGAGAGGTTGAACTGGTGCCGCGAAGAGGATGGGGAGGCGAGGGTGCTCTAGGGGCGGTCCTTGGTTTTGGCGCCTTACACCGCTTGCCAGTGGGACTGGGAGAAGAGGTGCAGGCACCGGGAGAAAATCTATTTGACGCTGACAGGAAGAGCTCGGAGAATGGGCAACAGGACGTGTTCACCAACACCTTCCAACCTGCCCCTGCTCAGGATCTACCTCCACCTCCTATGGTCAACCCGAATATCCCTCCACCCCCATTGATGAGCCCAGGAGCTCCCCCTCCCACTGCATCCGCCACCTCCAGAGCACGAAAGGGAAGACACCATGGCGCAGCTGCTCTGGGCAGTGGCTTCGATGATATATTCGCTGAAGGTGCTAAGAAGAGTGCCGAGCGGGACCATGTACCTTCGAGAAAGGGTACGCCGCTTGCCCCGCCACCCAAGATCACATCTGCTGGGCCGACACCACATTCTGTCACTCATGACAAAGAGGATCCGCTAGCACAAGCAGGTGAGGATCTTGGTGAACCTGGGGATGCCGAGGAAACGTGAACTGGCACGTTCGTCAACCCCCACGGCACTCATGGGCAGTCTTGAAGATGTATCGAGGAGGGTGCCCAGTCTCAAAGGTCAAGCTTCGGAAATGAGTGCTTTGGCTTATGTATCCGTCGCACCAACCTCATCCTTCCACCACTCCATGAACTCCCGGATTCTGTCCGACCTCTCCTTTGCCATCGCCTTTCCGGTCTCGGTCTTCATCATCCCTTCCAACTTGAGCAACTTATCCTCGAAATGCTGTATCGAGTCCTGAAGACTCCTAGCACCTTTGGCTCCTCCAAAGGTGAAGC